TGTGAACATGGACGTTGAGTAGGTAATTGCTCCTAAAAGAAACCTAATTAATGTATTGTTGAACCTAATTTTGAGATGATTTTTATTCTACCATTGTACAGTGCACATTAGCATCGTCTAAATACATATGTCTCTTGGGGTTTCTTTTTGGTGGCAAATTGATTCTTGCAATCATAGCGGAAAGGCCAGCAATAAGGCACTTTAGACTGATGAAACTTGCATAAGTATTCCTCTTTGTGATACGATTTCACCAAAAGTTTCAACATTGAGATGTTTTTACTTAGTTAAAGCCCGAACTGAGGCACCCACCCATACATGTATAAGCTCCAAAAACATAAAACAATATGCAAAGAATTTTTCAGCTTTCGGGCTATAAGCATTAGACATTTTCATAAGAAATGCTGAATGTTAGTATCAATTGAATCAATTTGACCTTAACGCAGTGCAGGTACTGTTAAATCTGTAGTTGTAATTTATTCATCTGTAACTTGATTTTCTTTTCACTTCTGTTTTTATAAATTCATGTAGTCATCTATAATAATGATTTTTTTCTTTTGAGAGAGAAATTGTGTGTCTGCTCTGGTTTCAGTTTTAACGTCAGCTCCTTCCAATCCGTAACTACTTATAGACTACTTCATACGGATGGGTTTGCAACTTTGTGTACAGACTGCTTCAACACTTCTATTTTCTATAGGACTTGGATTAATAATCTCCAACAATATGGTCATGCTTCTTATATTCTCTTTCAGTTCTAAATACATTTGTGCTTTTCTCTATGTTGTACTACTAAACTATGTGTGATAAACTAAACATAAAAATATGACGGGGTGTTGGTTTCAGCCACAGAAAGAATTGATTTGGAGAACAAAGGGAATTTTCGGCGGACGAAGAACTCGCTCGAGATGCTCCAGTGATGATTTTATATAGCGTTTTATCTAAACCTGGGTTCCTTCTTTCAGACTGGGCAGTGCCATATGATGTGAAGCCGGTGTAATAAATTTTTCATTTGGCATCGGTGGTGATGTGGCAACCTTTTAGACAATTTGGCACCTGTAACACAATGGAAAACCTCATACGAGCTGGTTGCCTTCTTGGTTGTTGCGGCTTCTGAATTAAGTGTACCACTATGTTTAAAACACCATGATCAGAAGTTGTGGTGGGTGTACCGATTGACTCTTATTACATGACTATTCCTAAGATTGATTCTTATTGGGTCAGGGGCATGTGATTTCGTTCTCCCGGTGCAACGCACGGGCCCTTTTGCTAGTCACACTAAAACACAAACAACAACATATATGTTAGAAGGGAGAGAGAGGATTGGTGGAATAGTTCATTATACTGCTTGAGCCTCGTGGCCATATATATAGGAGTACATGATCTACTTGGAGTACAAGGCAAGCCCGAATATTTCCTAGTCTAACCTATGTTTCCTAATACAATCACGTTACTCAACATCCCCCCCTCCCCAGTCACAACGGTAGCAACGTAGACGGTGAGACTGAAGAAGAATCCGAAGGCAAGCTGACAGACAACCCCCCACAGTCGTAACGGTCGATGCATCGCGGAGTCGTGGCTAGAATGGAAACCAATGAGGTTGCTCAAGCAGGCGGTAGCCCTTTGTGCCGGTTGTCGATGTAGCCAAGAGCGTGGGTAGTGGAGCCGTGGTCGAGGTAGCCGTGCGAAGAATGCCGTGGTCGATGTCGAGTCGGGGTGGCCGGTGTCGAGGAAGTCGCCGTGGAGCCGCGGGCGCAAGAGGGTGCCGAGTTAGCATGGGCGCAGTGGTGTTGAAGTAGGGGTGCGCCGGGAAGAAAATGTTGTTGACGACGCGTCGCAGCGGGTTTGCCAAGCCCGGGAACACATCATGGACGAAGGCACGCACTGGTGTTACCAGCACCGGGCATGCGTAGACGGACGAAGACAAAGTTGATGAAGCGCCGACCAGGCTTGCCAGGCCCGGGGACACGTCATGGATGAAGGCACGCATCGGTGTTGCCAGCACCGGGCATGCGTAGACGGGTGTACAAAGACGAAGGGGGTGGATGGGCGGCGGCGGCTACGAAGGTAACGGCGGCTGCGGCCAAAGAAGAGCGGCGGCGGCGGCCTGACGGGGGTGGCGGCTAGGTTAGGAGTGCCGCGGCGGTGCTCGAAGGAGGCGAAGGACCCTGACAGCGTGATGAAGACCGGCGCGGACGGTGGCGTTCCCGCGCCAAGGGAGACGGCGTGGCGCATACCACGGGAGGTCGACGTGCGGTGACGGCGGAGTGGACCGCGGGCCACGGCGCTACGGCCCGAAGGGGCGACACAACGGCGGTAGGCGGGTCAGGGCGACGGCGGGGACCGCAGGCCCGACTTTACGGCCCGAAGGGGCGACGCAACGGCGGTTCGCGAGTTGGTGCAGCCGCGGGGACGGCCTTAGGACGGCGGCGTGGACCGCGTGCCACGCTCGCTACGGCCCGATGGGGCGACGCAGCGTCGGCGCGAGGGTCGGTGCAGCCACAGGACAGCCTGGAGCGAACGGCCTTGGGGCGGCGCGTGACCGCGGGCCGCGACACTACAGCCCGAAGGGGCGACGCAGCGGTGACGAGGGTCGGTGCAGCCGGGAAAAGAACCACGGGGCGGCGGCGCTGTGGCCCGACGGGGCGACGCAGCGGCAGCCCGTTGCTCGATCGGTGGAGGGGCGCGCTGAACTCGGGGACGATTTTCACTGGACCTGCGGAGGCGCGCGTAACCAACGGGCCAGGTCGGTCGCACGACATAGATGAGGCAGATCGCGGCGGGGAGCGGGTGATCAAGCCGATCACGTGTGAGGTCGGGGACGCCGCTCGATGGAGGCGTGGTGGCGGCGGAGTCCGGGATGAGGCCGGCAACGACGGACGGCATGGGACGTCGTGCAGACGAGCTTGTCAGCACCGGCACCCCGGCTGCCAAAGCAGCGCCGGCGCCCGGGCAGCGAGGCCCGAGCGACCAATGGAGCAGCGACGCCCGAGTTGAGGCAGCCGACGAGCCTGATGCAGCCGTCCCGACGCAGCTGAAGACGAGGCCGGCGAGGTAGCGTCGGGCCGCCGTGCAGACGCGACGGAGGCGGGTGACCTGGATCGATGGGCGGGCCGGCGCGCGAGCGACGGCTATGATTGGCCGTCGCATGGCGCGAGGCCGCCGGGTCGGGGCGATGCAGGTGTCCTAGTTGGAGCAGGGCGGTGATGGCCGGCGTAGGGCGACGCGCGGACCGACGCGCAGACGGTGGCTGGCCCGGACGGGCCGACTTGGCGCGCGTGGCCACCGGGTCGAAGGAGAGGCCGGCTGGTCGCGCCGGGGTCGGAGTAGAGGCGGACGGGGGTCGACAGCGGCCGTGGGCGACGCAAACCGATCAAGATTAGATCGGAAAACCAAAAATAAAAACGCCGACCAAAATGACCCGCGAGAGAGCAAAAAAAACCCAGAGCAAGGGCTCGGAAAAAGACTCTCTAGGGCAGCCGGCCAACATGGCCGGCGGACGAACCCTAGGTACGGGCGGCGCGGCCCCCGGTGGTGGTCATGGAGGCCGACCGTCCCAGGGGCGGCGCGCGGGTGTGGAAGCGGCGGCGGCTAGGGTTTGGATCGTGATTAGACTGATACCATATTAGAAGGGAGAGAGAGGATTGATGGAATAGTTCATTATACTGTTTGAGCCTCGTGGGCATATATATAGGAGTACCTGATCTACTTGAAGTACAAGGCAAGCCAGAATATTTCCTAGTCTAACCTATTCCTAATACAATCACGTTACTCAACAATATAAACTGAAATGAGTGAACAAACACGGTAAATCGTGTCTATAATATATACATCCAATTTGTGAACAGAGGGAATAGTTCACAACTAGCACACACAAATGCAAACAGGTAATGCAAAATACAAACATCCTGAATATGAAAACACGACCCAGTCTCAGTCTTACAATAAGCGTTTTAAAAGCCACATCTTGAAACAATCAATAGGCAAATATCATGACAAGCAAAAGCACACCAACACCAATAGTAGCAGGATGCTTTTGTAGGTGGAGGTGGAAGTAGCAGCAAAGGGTTCCGTAGTGCTTCTTGAAACATCAGAGGAAACCCGGATGGTATAGTAGATCAGCAACAGAGGAAACACTGGTTGTACATGTAGTGAAGCTTGTTTCTTCCTTCCAGCAGGTGACCTACATAACCAACAACATACGAACATTTTAGAAGTTGTACGATTAGAGATGAGGAAACCAGAGTAGTGGTAGTACTAGTTAGTTGGCAGGTGCGTGGATATAGCTTACGTATGTATACATTGCCGACCACTATGGCAAGTCAACATCGGAGAGTATGCTGCCATTGTGTCCCTTCAATTGCCGAAAATTGGCGCAACAGCATCAAGAATTCATTGCTGATTTCGTAGAAGACTAGACGCTGTAGGGGCACGAGGAACTCAATGCCAGGTGAGACCTCCATCAAGCTGCTGAGGTTGATCAAGTATAATTTTTCCAGGCTTGCCATGGCACCTTGTTGTATTTGTAGCTGATTCAGATTAGGCAGGTCTATTAGATAGAGAATCTTTAGCTTTGGAAACCACCCCGTGAAAAATGCCAGCTGCTCTCCATTATATGCTTTGGTGAAATCTAGAAATGTTAAGTTTGACAAACAAGAAAGAGATGGCAGGGGGTCTTCTATCAACTGTGACCAAGACAGAACTAATTCATGCAAGTTCTGTCCCCCAGCAGCTCGGAAGAGAGGAGACTCCTCCAACGCCCCTTCCGCTAGACGGCCCCTCAAACATAGCTTTTGCAGGTTTGGCAGGAGGACATTCAACAATAGAACCTCGTTTTCATCGCTTGCACTCACGGATAAGTCGGACAAAGATTGCATCTGAAACAAAGACTCACTGATGCGTCCACTGCAGATTCCCTTCACATTCCATAACCTCAAGCTTCTTAGTTGCCTCAGCACCCCTAAATGTCTAAGAGACTCATCCTGTAATTCCAATGCTTGTAGCGTCTACAAATTTATTAGATTTCCAAGACCATTAGGAACACGCACACCACGACAACATTGCAATCCTCTCCAATATGGGTCAATTGTTTTCTCAGCTAATAAGTGCCTAAGCTTCTTCAGTTTGACAATCCCACTAGGCAACTCATGTATATCAGATCGAGAAAGGTCCAATATCAACAAATTTGAAAGCTTCTCAACAGACTTCGGGAGCATCTTCACTTTTGTATTACGCAAACCCAAATGGCGGAGATTAAAAAGATCTCCAGTAGCATCTGGAATCTTCTCGATGGGTAGACCACTTAATTCCAGTACTGTCATGTCTCTTGACTCCTTACATAGAAGAGGTAGTAGAGTGGGTGATAGCATGCTACTGTCCAGTGCAATGAAAGTTCGAAGTTGGTGTATACTAGAAAGTGACTGTTGAACACCCTTATTTAGTTTGTGCATTACCAATCGATGTCCATCCTGTTGGGGAACGTAGCAGAAATTCAAAATTTTCTACGCATCACCAAGATCAATCTATGGAGTAATCTAGCAATGAGGGGAAGGAGAGTGCATCTACATACCCTTGTAGATCGCTAAGCGGAAGCGTTCAAGTGAACGGGGTTGATGGAGTCGTACTCGTCGTGATCCAAATCACCGATGATCCTAGTGCCGAACGGACGGCACCTCCGTGTTCAACACACGTACAGCCCGATGACGTCTCCTACGCCTTGATCCAGCAAGTGGAGAAGGAGAGGTTGGGGAAGACTCCATCCAGCAGCAGCACGACGGCGTGGTGGTGGTGGAGGAGCGTGGTACTCCAGCAGGGCTTCGCCAAGCACCGCAAGACGAGGAGGGAGATGGGTAGGGCTGCGCCAACAGGGAGATTGAATCGTGTGTTGGGCTGCCCCTTTGCTCAAGTATATATAGGGGGAGGGGAGGGGCTGCGCCCCCACCTAGGGTTCCCTCCCTAGGGGTGGCGGCAGCCCCCAGATCCCATCTGGGAGGCGGCCAAGGGGGAGAGAGAGGGGGGTGCACCTAGGGTGGGCCTTAGAGCCCATCTGCGCCTAGGGTTTGCCCCCTCTCTTCTTGAGGACGCCTTGGGCCTTGGTGGGAGGCGCCCCAGCCCACCTAGGGGCCGGTCCCTTCCCACTATTGGCCCATGTAAGCCTCCGGGGCTGGTGGCCCCACCTGGTGGACCCCCGGACCCTTCCGGTGGTCCCGGTACACTACCGGTGATGCCCGGAACACTTCCGGTGGCCAAAACCATACTTCCTATATATTAATCTTTACCTCCGGACCATTCCGGAACTCCTCGTGACGTCCGGGATCTCATCCGGGACTCCGAACAACATTCGGTAACCACGTATATCTATTCCCTATAAGCCTAGCGTCATCGAACCTTAAGTGTGTAGACCCTACGGGTTCTGGAGTCATGCAGACATGACCGAGACAACTCTCCGATCAATAACCAACAGCGGGATCTGGATACCCATGTTGGCTCCCACATGCTCCACGATGATCTCATCGGATGAACCACGATGTCGAGGATTCAATCAATCCCGTATTCAATTCCCTTTGTCTAGCGGTACGATACTTGCCCGAGATTCGATCATCGGTATCCCGATACCTTGTTCAATCTCGTTACCGGCAAGTCTCTTTACTCGTTCCGTAACACATCATCCCGTGATCAACTCCTTGATCACATTGTGCACATTATGATGATGTCCTACCGAGTGGGCCCAGAGATACCTCTCCGTTTACACGGAGTGACAAATCCCAGTCTCGATTCGTGCCAACCCAACAGATACTTTCGGAGATACCTGTAGTGTACCTTTATAGCCACCCAGTTACGCTGTGACATTTGGCACACCCAAAGCACTCCTACGGTATCCCGGAGTTGCACAATCTCATGATCTAAGGAAATGATACTTGACATTAGAAAAGCTTTAGCATACGAACTACATGATCTTTGTGCTAGGCTTAGGATTGGGTCTTGTCCATCACATCATTCTCCTAATGATGTGATCCCGTTATCAACGACATCCAATGTCCATGGTCAGGAAACCGTAACCATCTATTGATCAACGAGCTAGTCAACTAGAGGCTTACTAGGGACATGGTGTTGTCTATGTATCCACACATGTATCTGAGTTTCCTATCAATACAATTCTAGCATGGATAATAAACGATTATCATGAACAAGGAAATATAATAATGACCAATTTATTATTGCCTCTAGGGCATATTTCCAACAGTCTCCCACTTGCACTAGAGTCAATAATCTAGTTCACATCGCCACGTGATTAACACTCACAGGTCACATCGCCATGTGACCAACATCCAAGAGTCTACTAGACTCAATGATCTAGTTCACATCACTATGTGATTAACACTCAAAGAGTTCTGGGTTTGATCATGTTATGCTTGTGAGAGAGGTTGTAGTCAACGGGTCTTGCCATATTCAGATCCCTATGTATTTCGCAAAACTTTATGTCATATCATAGATGCTGCTACCACGTTCCACTTGGAGCTATTCCAAATTGTTGCTCCATTATACGTATCCGGTATCTCTACTAAGAGCTATCCGGATAGGTGTTAAGCTTGCATCGACGTAACTCTTTATGTCGAACTCTTTATCACCTCCATAACCGAGAAACATTTCCTTATTCCTCTAAGGATAATTTTTGACCGCTATTCGGTGATCTACTCCTAGATCACCTATGTACCCTCTTGCCAGACATGTGCCAAGGCACACATCAGGTGCGGTACTCAGCATGGCATACCGTATAGAGCCTATGACAAGAGCATAGGGGACGACCTTCGTCCTTCCTCTTTCTTCTGCCGTGGTCAAGCTTTGAGTCGTACTCAACTTCACACCTTACAACTCAGGTAAGAACCCCTTCTTTGACTGATCTATTTTGAACTCCTTCAAAAACATGTCAAGGTGCGCGTTCTTTGAAAGTATCATCAGGCGTCTTGATCTATCTCTATAGATCTTGATGCCCAGTATGTAAGTAGCTTTATCCAGGTCTTCCTTTGAAAATTACTTTTCAAACAGCCGTTTATGCTTTCCAGAAATTCTACATTATTTTAGATCAACAATATGTCATCCACATATACTTATCAGAAATATTGTAGTGCTCCCACTCACTTTCTTGTAAATACAAGTTTCTAGCAAACATTGTATAAACCTAAAAGCTTTGATCACTCCATCAAAGCATATATTCCGATTCCGAGATGCTTGCTCTAGTCCATAGAAGGATCACTGGAGCCAGCATGCCTTTTAGCATCCTTAGGATCGACAAAACCTTTTATTGTATCACATACAACTTTTTCTTATGAAAACTGGTAAGAAAACTTGTTTTGACATCCATCTGTCAGATTTCATAATCGAAAAACACAGCTAATGCTAACATGATTCCGACGGACTTAAGCATCGCTACGGGTGAGAAATTCTCATCGTAGTCAACTCCTTTAACTTGTGAAAAGACTCTTTCCCACAAGTCGAGCTTCATAGACGGTAACATTACCGCCCACGTCTGTCTTCTTCTTAAAGACCCATTTATCTCAATGGCTTGCCGATCATCGGGCAAGTCCATCAAAGTCCATACTTTGTTCTGATATATGGATCCAATCTCGGATTTCATGGCTTCTAACCATTTGTCGGAATACGGGCCCACCATCGCTTCTCCATAGCTCGTAGGTTCATTGTTGTCTAACAACATGATATCTTAGACAGGATTACCGTACCACTCAGGAGTAGTACATATCCTTGTCAACCTACGATGTTCGATAGCAACTTGATCTGAAGCTTCATGATCACTATCATTAACTTCCTATTCAACAGACGTAGGTGCCACAGAAAACATCTTTCTGTGTTGCATCACTTTCTGGTTGAAATAAAGGTTCAACAACCTCATCAAGTTCTATCTTCCTCCCACTCAATTCTTTCGAGAGAAACTCCTTCTCGAGAAAGGACCCGTTCTTAGCGACAAACAATTTGCCCTTGGATCTGAGATAGAAGGTATACCCTACTGTCACCTTTGGGTATCCTATGAAGATGTGTTTGTCCGCTTTGGGTTCGAGCTTCTCCGGCTGAAGCCTTAAGCATCGCATCCCCAAATGTTAAGAAACGACAACTTTGGTTTCTTGCCAAACCAATGTTCTTATGACGTCGTCTCAACGGACTTAGATGGTGTCCTATCTAAAGTGAATGCAGTTGTCTCTAACGCATAACCTCAAAATGAAAACGGTACATTGATAAGAGACATCATAGATCACACCATATCTCATAAGGTTCGATTACGATGTCCGGACACACCATAACCCAGTGGTGTTCCAGGTGGCTTCAACTGTGAAACAATTCCACAATGTCTTAAGTGTTTGCCAAACTCATAACTCAGATATTCTCATTGATCAGATCGTAGGAATTTGATCTTCTTGTTATGATGATTCTTAACTTCACTCTGAAATCGCTTGAACTTTTCAAACGTTTCAGACTTGTGCTTCATTAAGTAAATATACCTATATCTACTCAAATCGTCAGTGAAGATGAGAAAATAGCGATATCCACCACACGCTTCAATTCTCATTGGATCACACGCATCAGCATGCATGATCTCCAACAAGTCACTTGCCCGTTTCATTGTACCTGAAAACGGGGTCTTAGTCATGCTGCCCATGAGGCATGGCTCGCATGTGTCAAGCGATTCAAAATCAAGTGACTCCAAACATCCATCGACATGGAGTTTCTTCATGCATCTTACGCCAATATGACCTAAGCGGCAGTGCCACGAGAAAATGGTACTATCATTATTAACTCTACATCTTTTGGCGTGAACATGTGTATTACCACGACCGAGATTCAATGAACCATTCACATAGGGTGCATGACCATGAAAGGTATCATTCATGTAAACAGAATAACCATTATTCTCTAACTTAAATGAATGACCGTATTGCAATGAACATGATCTAATCATATTCATGCTCAACGTAGACACCTGATAACATTTATCTAGGTTCAATACTAATCCCGAAGGCAGATGGAGCATGCGATGGTGATCTCATCAACTTTGGAAATACTTCCAACACACATCGTCACCTCGCCCTTAGCTAGTCTCCGTTTAGTCCGTAGCTTTTGCTTCAAGTCACCAGTAATAGCAACTGAACCGGTATCCAATACCCAGGTGCTACTAGGAGTACTAGCGAGGTACACATTAATAACACGTATATACTTTTTTGAAGTTGCCAGCCTTCTTATCTACCATGCATTTGGGGTAATTCCGCTACCAGTGACCGTCCACTTTACAATAGAAGCACTTAGTCTTGGGTTTGGGTTCAACCTTGGGTTCCTTTACTGGAGCGGCAACTGGTTTGCCATCCATGAAGTTTCCCTTCTAGCCCTTGCCCTTCTTGAAACCAGTGGTCTTATTAAACCATCAACACTTGATGCTCCTTCTTGATTTCTACCTTTTGCG